ATTAAGGGTCCGGACATTCCAGGTTCATGCCCTCAAATCGTAGTCCTTTAAACGTTTACCGTGGTCGTCATCATAAGGGGGGTCTCATCCAAGGCTTTGCCTTGCTTCTTCACTGGAAGTGGTTTTTACGTGGCGGGTTCCAAGCCCAGCGCACAACCCATTGCTGGGACGGGGGTGGTTTCGCAACCAAATACACGTTTATATAGCGAGCCGCTTGCTCCAAGCAGACACCCGCTTGCAGCCGCACCTACTGGCTGCACACTTCAGTGGCCCTTAAACCGAATAAGTCGGAGTGGCCCCACCGAAGCTCCCTCTCTTTCTGCCGTGACCCAACGCTCCACTCGGATTGGTTACCGCATCTCGCACATGGGTTGCTCACGTTGCCCAGAGTGCGCGAACGAGGACGCAAGAGTCGGGATTGAGTATAGCCATGCAACTGTAACTGCATACCCAGCGCAACGACTATACCCCATTGCACTCCAAGTTTTTAGTACAGCTGATCGAAATTTTGTTTACATACAAAAGCAGAAACCATGAAAAGTATATAAATTATAGTTTTCCTAAAGCAATTTGCTAAGCAAACATCAGTAAATGAGTATTTGCTTTCTTCCGATGCATTTGCGGTTCTAATAAGTTATTTCAAACTTAAAAATCATAATAATAAATCTAAAAAAATACCATATTTTCATAAATTGAAAACAGATGACTTTGATCAGCTGTATTTCTTGCTGGCAGATGGCTGCTAGCAAAAATTTTTCCAGCAGAAACTAGCAGCTTTTCATCCGAATGAAATGTAAATTTGGTCTCTCAATTTCCTCTACTTTTCTGGATTTTTGTGTACGCGAACAGGAAAATCTGATAGTTTTTGTTAGTTATCAAAAAATGTTGTGCAAGTTCTTCGATAAAACGTATATATGGCAAACAAAATGACAAATTGTAGCCAATATTTTTGCCTGTGGTGGGAGTATTTATGTAACAAAAGTGATCAAATGTCATATTTATCAACTTTGATAAAGAGGTCTTTAAACAAGCTAGTGCGATTCATAAGACGTCGCAAAGTGGCATTTTTGGCGAAATGGCAATGTTGGGAATTAAGTTATATGAACGAACTATCCCAACTCCGGATTGCAAATGTAAAATTTTTTAAAAATTCCGCGCGTTAGAGAAAAATAAAAGTTTTTACAATTATATTTCGAAGCAGATTTAACCGATATCCTTAAGTATTTGAAGACAATAAAAAAACATGTGTTTCGCAACCTTAACTTTGCTGATTGCCACCTCAAATACTATGGTAATGTCGCAATTTTGTCGCTAGAAAGCTTCCATACAAAAGTAATCAGCTGTATCGCAAGGTGGCCAATTTTGCGACAAATGCGACATTTACAATAACTTTGCGAGCTATCAATGGGTTCCCACTTCTACTTGACCTTTGACGTACGTCAAAGAGAACATAGTTCTTTTAATGATATTTTTTTGCTGTACTTTAAATACCTGCATTGGTTTCTTTCTTTCTTTGGACCAATCCAAAAAACTACTAGACACAAAAGAAGAAAGTGTGCACTGTAATTCTTAGCCAAATTTTCTTGATTTGCTTTTGATGTTACATATGTATATTCGTTTCAGTAATTTCAAATGGGGCTCTTTGGGGAATTTATTTTTAGCAAAAATCTTAAAAGCCGTAATTTTGTTTACTTGCCGGCTTACAAAAAAAAAATTAATATATTCTGATCCGATTCGGATGACAGCCACGACTTTTAAAACAGAATTTTGTTCAAAATTTTCATTCCTGGACAATAATAATTTATTACCATATCCACCTATTTAGCTCGCTATAAGCACATATTTTTCAAACCAGTCGCAGGAAAAAGTATTAAGAATGAATTACAAAAACTAAAATCGAAAAACGCAGATGGAGTTACAGATTCTCCAAATTCTGAAACAGCCAAAGGAATCAGAATGAAGAATTCTTTTTAAAAAGCTATAAAAAAATCTGACACATCTGGTTTGGCTTGTAAGCGCTGTTTAAGCAACGATCTCTCCATTATGCTAGATTCCAATTGTTTCTTAAAAAACCTGACATCCGTTAGCTGTTAGATATTCACATCCGTATTCGCATCCGCGGATGTCTGAAATTCCACATTCGCAACATCCCTAGTGGAGATATATAAAATCAATCACATATTCTTTCAGAAAAATTGGAGCTATTGGAATATTTCATACTGCATTTTTCTGAAAGCGTTCATGGTAAAATTTTTGTATTATTGTTTGCTATTATTCTAATATATATAAATAATTTTCCAACAATTCAAAATAATCTTATATTTAGTAATTTAATTATTTATTCATCCTTATTATTAAAAAGCGGAGCAGCACCATTCCATATATATGAAATCAATCACATACTCATAGAGAAAAATTGGAGTTATTGGAAAAGGGCGTGGCACCTCCTATACAAACCGAAATTGTCATACTGTATATCTCTGGAAGTGTTCATGGTAACATACTGGAACTTGGTATAGAGATATATGAAATCAGTCGCATACTCATGAAGAAAAATGTGGACTATTTGAAAAGGGGGCATGGCATCTCCCATACAAACCGAATTTTTCATAATAAGTATCTTTTGAAGTGTTCATGGTAGAGTACTGGAACTTGGTATGGAGATATATGAAATCAGTCGCGTACTCATGAAGAAAAATTCGGACTATTTGAAAAGGGGGCGTCGCTCCTCCCATATAAGTCTAGTTTTTCTTATTGCATATCTGTTCATGGTACAGTACTGGAACACTTCGTATGGAGATATATGAAATGAATCTATACTCATTGAGAAAAATGGGCTCTTTGAAAAGAGGGCGTGGAAAAGTATAAACGTACTGACTTTTACTTATCTTTGAATGTGTATATAATTCTTCTGTAGGTATATTTTTGAGTGAAATCCTAAATGGTTGGAGGGATTTTAACAAAGTTTCGTGTGTTTGCTGGAGTAGGTCTCTGGATAGTTTAGTTTCGCAATTAGTTTAGTTATTACTAAAAATCGACAAGTGAGAAAAGGTGCCGTAAATGTCAGACTAAATCGACCTGTTACATCAGTGGCGGACCCAGGTAGGGGAAATTGGGGAAATTGGGGAACAAACCTAATGAATGGATGCTTTTGAAAATTTTCATTCATGGAAAAAGTGTGTCAAATTTCACTTGAGTTTGAAATTTTAGCTGTGTGCTAAGCTCGAAGTATTATGTTATTTAAGTAGGTCTATCAGTTTTTCGAATTCACTGAATTTTCAAAATTTTCAAATTAGGTATGTATGTACTTAATTCTCAATTTTTACTTTTTTTGTTATATTTTCGAATTTGTATTATTTTACACAGTTGAAAGTCACAGCAAGTTTGAATATTTTCACAGGTTCAGAAAACAACGAAAATTATTATTTTTAAATTTCTTGAGATTTCTTATTCTTAGGATAATTTCCAAAATTTCAAAAACTATCTAAATCCGGGAGATTCTAGAAACTTTGGTAAAATGTGAATATTTTGAAATGTACAAAATTATTGACATTTTAGAAATTTTTTATATTTTCCAAAATTTTGAGAATTTTATTCATCTTAAAATCCACCCTAAAATGTAAATATGTGAAACATCACAAATTGTCGAAAAATTCTTGTTCATGGTACTTGTGTGTAAAAAATAGAAAATTCTTAGAATTCTAAAAGATATTAACATTTTTGAAAAATTCCAAAATTTTCCCACTTTTCGGAACTTTTCCAAAATTTTGTATTGATATAACAAAGTTTGATAATTTTAAATTTTTTGAAAATTTTGAAAACATCAACGTCCAAAAATTTTTTGAATCTTCAAGAATTACGAAAATTTTTTAAACTTTCAAAAACGACGAAATATGAAAATATTTTCAACATTCGAAAACTTTTAATTTCGTTTGATCAATTTTGTATATTCGACACTTACACGTAGAAAAAATTTGTTAAAATTCCTACAATTCTCAAAATTTTTGAAAAACAAAAAATTTCTAGAAATCTAGTGTTCATCATTATATTAAATTATTGTGATTTACTAAAATTTCTCAAATTCACAAAGTTTCGAAAGTTTAGAAAATTTTGGAATTCCGCTCAAGTTATTTAAAATGGGAAACTTCAAGAAATTGAAAACCATCACAACTCTAAAGGCCTTATTCATAAAAAATAAAGTATGTTTAAAGAGCTTTATAAATTGACGTTTTCATACATTTTTCAATTTATAAACCTTTTATAAGACTACTTTATTTTTTATGAATAAGGCCATACAAATTTTAAATTGCGGTGATTTTTAAATTTATATAGAGTAAAGTAGGCAAATATGGACCACCAATCTTTTTTTGGTATATAGTTCACCAAATATATGCAATAATACAATCAAATTTATTTGATTAACGTAAAAAAACAATTCATTTTTATTTTTTTTTTGTGAAACAAGAACTTTAAACGCAAAATATATTATAAACTGAAAAAACGTAAAAATACCCAGAAAGGCGCAAAAAAAATAGTGGGGGGTAATATGGACCAGGTAGTCCATATTAGCCGAAGTGATTATTGTGCACACATGTCGCATATAAAGAGCTCTTGTTCACAACCAGCACATTCCTCATGGCTCCAATTTTTGCAAGAGACACATTGAACCCATATTTCACCAGACCGATCTTCCGAATAAAACGTAGAGCAATATAGGCACTTCGCATCCTCTTTGTCAGCTGCGTTTACAAATTCTACAATTTCACCGTCAGAGTCGTCTCGGACACTGTAATTGTCATCCAAGTCCGAGGAGGATGAGGAATTTGTTTTCTTCCTTTTTCCTGAAATGAAAATAAAGAATAAAGTGTTATCTATAAATGTCAAATCAAAACCTTGATTTACCTGCACATTTTTCTCTTGCTGAATTTATTTTTTTCATAAGTGCTTTGGAAGTGCTGGGTTGACTAGAATCATCTTGGTGTTTTTTTGGGTTCTTGAATAAAAATAGGGAACGAAAGTTTTAAAAATTTAATCAAAATCTTTATTTAAGCAGTCTTACCTGTACACTTTCCTTTCGCAAAATTTAGTTTTTTGATAATTCCCTTGGAAGAACTGGGTTCATTCGAATCAATATCCTGGCGTCTGTTAGTATTTCTTAGAGGTTTCTTTTCCGATGCTTTCTCCAATGAAATTTTTAAAGATTTTTTATAAGGCGAAGATGTTATCAACGTGGACTTTCCTGCTGGCCTGCCATGATTGGAAGACTTTGTTTTTTTTATAGGAACCGGAGATATTTCCATCGGTGTTATGACCCTAGACGTGGTTTCCGATTCGCTTAGAACTGAACGATTTACATTTTCATTACAAATATCGCTTATTGGATGCGGACTCTCTACAATGGTTTCGTTACTTAGTATTTCCTCTGGTACTTCGTAAGTGCTTTCAGACTCTCGAGGAGGAGAATGCGATGCTACATCAGCGGCAGCTAAAAACTCATCGTCGCGAAATATATACCGGTTGAAAGGAAATATACCGGTTGTGCGAAATCCATTAATTGCGATTTCCCCACTCTGAACTCGCAAATAGGCCTTTCCATATAGCTCTGCCATATCGAAGTGTGTCAAAGCTCTGCCGTTCGAACGCACCCAAACACGTATTTCTTCCGAAAGATAACTCTTAAGAGGTCCCATGAAAGTTTTATCTAGCGGCTGTATTTTGTGACTTGAGTGTGGAGGGATGGATACGATAGATACGTGATTTTCCCTAGCCAAATCAACAAGCTCAATATTTCTTGTATGACTCGAATGACCATCCAAGACGAGCAATACTGGTGAAGCAGCTGATAGTTTGACGTGTTTTATGAAGTGCCGAAACCATATTGTAAAAATGTATGTTTGAACCCAACCGGATTGATGACATTCGTATATTGATCCTGGTGGCGCTCCTTTTAACAACAAATCTGAGCGTTTCTTTCGTGGAAATATAAATAATGGTGGAACAAATATTCCACCTGCACTCATACAAACAATAGTTGTGATCATAGATCCCCTCTCTGCAGAAGTAAGGCTACCAATCTGCCTTTTACCCTTCCTTGACAATACTTGGGGTAATTTTGATGGAACCACACTTACGCCTGTTTCATCAACGTTAAAAACATTGTTGGCTGAATAATTAAACGTGTCCATTTCCTTTTCAAGGATATCAAAAAAGGCATTCACATTATCTTTTGTGAAACCTCGTGCTCTTGCCAATGAAGTTCCCGTTGGAGCGCGCAGCCAATCCTTACCCGCAAGCTGATTTTCTTTTGAAAATGGGTGCATAATATTATTTTTTTCTGCCAGTTGATAGGCTAAGTACTTAACATCCATTCTGCATAGACCAAATAATTTCGATTCCATCGTCAAAACGTAATCCACCAACATCTTTTCAAAATTTTCGGGAAAAACTGGTTTGCGCCCTAATTTAGTGTTTACGACCTTTTCGATTTCCGTGTCTTTCTATAACGCCAGCCTTATTAAAGTTGACTTAGGGACATTGTACATCTTAGCTGCTTTCAGATGCGGCTATTAGATCGCACCGCTGTGATCGCCTTTTTCATGTCCTCGGGATTCCAATTTTTACGCTTACCAGGAGCCATATCCTACATTAATAGGATCTTAATGAACTCAAAGATAATCGAGCTAAAAGAGCAAGAATTGTTCTGCGGGTAATATGGACCACTAGTCCATATTAGCCTCAACCGTGGTAGTCCATATTACACTCAACATGTGCTGGCGATATAACTGAGTTTAATTCCAATCTGAACTATATTTATTAAACTATAACCATTCAAAATTAACAATAAGTATTTATTTAACACACGTTATTTGTCAATTTATTCATTGCACAATAAATTTTAAATAAAAACCCAAAATTCACTTACGCACATATAATTATCAGCAACCACTATTTTACAAAAATCACTATTGCTCGAATATCCGCACTTGCTGAACGATAAATTCAAACTGAGGAAGCTTGCGCGAAAAGACGAACAAATCAAACGGCAGTAACGGAGGATTTAACAACTGAAATTCAAGATAACTAGGTGGTCCATATTACCCGCGTGGTCCATATTACCCACCTTTACTCTACACGATATATGTATGTTGAAAAATTTCCCTCGGAATATCTTTAGAAGGACTAGGAAACTGGACAATAACACTCTCTACTCAGCTGCGAAGAGAACGTATGAGTCTTTAGCACACTTTACCGCATTCTTTTTTTTTATATTTTTAGGTTTTTTATTTAATTTAAATTGAGAAAGTATCAAAATTTTAGAAACTGAAATTTTTACACAATTCGCAATTATTCGAAAATGAGTGCTAATCTGAAAAAACAGAGGGCAAACCGGACTCGCCGTTCTAAATATGCCCCAGAAATATGAATGCCGCTTTCGAATGGACCCATGGTATTCGATGGAAGAATATTTCACGAAAATGAACCTAAGGTAAATGTAATTATCCTTTTTTCTCATATAAATACCTAAATATGATTAAGTTCATTGCTTTCTTTCATTACTTATCAGAAAAACAAACCGAATAATTTTGACCGGTTTTACTATGTAAATACTCCACGTCCCTGAAGTAATCACTACAACATTCACCGACTGGTTTGGCACATATGCAATAATTTAGTGCTTGCTTAGTTCCAATTTATGCCGCTAAAAAATTTTAGTTTCCTCTGTAAAATTTGGTAAAAACATGTAGTAGCCATCTATTCAGCCGAAGCAAGCACTACACTATCAATAAGGCGGTTCACTCTTTGATGCGAAAATGCAAAAGGCAAAAATTAGCGTTTGTTTTGTTGCTTTGCTGTGCATTATGGACGCAGGTGGAAATTACAGTTAACGTGCACCGATTTTACTGAAACTTGACATTATTTTTCTAAGAAACACACAATTACGATTAAAATTTGGTAAAGATGGGATAATTGCAACGCCCCCCACTCATGTGGGCTGAAAGATAAAATTTCATCCGATTTCGATGAAACTTAGAAAATCCTAAATATAAAATATGAGGATGATCGGATTACTAAAACATCTAAAACGCGCTTTTGCGTTTAGGCCCAATCAATAAATGTGAAGGAGTTTTGGTTAATAGTTTTTTTCTGCTTTCCGCTCCCAGAAAAACAAAGGTTATACTTATAAATTACATAGGTGCAAATATTTCTTTTTTCGCCATGTTCGGTGTGATTTTTTCCTTGTTCGAAAAATTCTTTTCGCGTAATTACGCAAAAAGAAGCTGAAAATCGAAAAATTACGAAAGTATAAAATTACATGTATTTGCGAGGTCGCGTGGAAAGGTCCAATTATATGCTAAGAAACTACATAAAATTTGCTAAAACATGTATCTAATTTCAAGACCTGGGGGGTTACTCTGTAATGCGATACGAAAAACAATGCGGTTCGAAAAGCGAATGCGATCCGAAAGGCTATCAGCACTCTCTATCACTATCGCAATGGTGTCGCAATCATATTTAGTTTTTGTAGGCACCACTGATATAACTAGAAGTAAACGGAAGTAAATGCTTTTCGTTGCATACTTTAAGCTTTATCTCACCCTATACTTTAAGCCAAACGATTTGTTTAAATTTTGCGCCTGATTGTATGTTATCTAGCATACACAGCATGCACTTGATAAAAATTTTTCATTTTATATTTTTGTTATTCGCAATACAAATTGAAAGCACGTGTGTGCGTAAACATACATATAGCATAGATACATAAGCATGTACGTACTAGGGATGTTGCGAATGTGGAATTTCAGACAGCCGCGGATGCGAATGCGGATGTCAGGTATTTTTAAGAAACAATTAGAATCTAGCATAATGGCGAGACCGTTGCTTAAACAGCGCTTACAAGCCAAACCAGATGTGGCAGATTTTTTATAGCTTTTTAAAAAGAATTCTTCATTCTGATTCCTTTGGCTGTTTCAGAATTTGGGGAACCTGTAACTTCATATGCGTTTTTCGATTATAGTTTTTTTAATTCATTTTTAATACTTTCTTCTGCGACTGGTTTGAAAAATTTGTGCTTATAGTGAGCTAAATAGGTGGATATGGTAATAAATTATTTTTGTCCAGCAATGAAAGTTTTGAACAAAATTCTGTTTTCAAAGTCGTGGCTGCCATCCGAATCGGATCAGAATATATTTATTTTCTTTTTTAAGCCGGCAAGGAAACAAAATTACGGCTTTTAAAATTTTTGCTAAAAATAAATTCCCCAAAGAGCCATATTAGAAATTACTGAAACGAATATATGTAACATCAAAGGCAAAACACGAAAATTTGGTTAAGAATTACAGTGCACACTTTCTTCTTTTGTGTCTAGTAATGTTTTGGATTGGTCCAAAAAATCGTAATAAAGAAAGAAACCAATGCAGGTATTTAAAGTACAGCAAAAAAATATCATTAAAAGTACTATGTTCCCTTTGACGTACGTCAAAGGTCAAGTAGAAGTGGGAACCCATTGATAGCTCGGTTATATACCTTAAGAAATATAGTGGAATTCATGAAACGTCGCAAAGTTACTGTAAATGTCGCATTTGCCGCAAAATTTTCCACCTTGCGATACAGCTGATTACTTTTGTGTGGAAACTTTCTAGCGACAAAATGGCGACATTGCCATAGTATTTGAGGTGGCAATCAACGCAAAGTCAAAGTCGCGAAACACATGTTTTTTTATTGTCTTCAAATACTTAAAAAAAAAGGATATCAGTTAAATCTGCTTCGAAATATAATTGTAAAAACTTTTATTTTTCTCTAACGCGCGGAATTTTTAAAAAATTTTACATTTACAATCCGGAGTTGCGATAGGGCGTTCATATAACTTAAATCCCAACATTGCCATTTCGCCAAAAATGCCACTTTGCGACGTCTTATGAATCGCACTAATTTTTTTAAAAACCTTNAAACTTTTATTTTTCTCTAACGCGCGGAATTTTTAAAAAATTTTACATTTACAATCCGGAGTTGCGATAGGGCGTTCATATAACTTAAATCCCAACATTGCCATTTCGCCAAAAATGCCACTTTGCGACGTCTTATGAATCGCACTAATTTTTTTAAAAACCTTTTTATCAAAGTTGATAAATATGACATTTGATCACTTTTGTTACATAAATACTCCCACCACAGGCAAAAATATTGGCTACAATTTGTCATTTTGTTTGTCATATATACGTTTTATCGAAGAACTTGCACACCATTTGCATCCGCAAAAGCTCCGCATTGATTATTGCGAATGCGAATGTTAAAATTAATGCGGAAGCTCCGCGGTTGCGAATGCGAATACGAATACTCGCAGCAACCCTGGTACGTACATACAAACAGCATATATTAGGCGTGTTTTCTTTAACCTTCACAAGCTAAGAGCCATTGCAAATAAAAAAAACCAAGTATTTAAATTCAGTCGTTTTGTTAACGATTTCTTAAAACCGTGTCATACGATTGGTACATTTGTACATTTCTTATTTTGGGCTGTTGGTACAAAATGAAAAAATTAGGATCCCATTTTTTTGAAGTTACACGATTGGTAAAATACAGCCAACTTCTATTGAGAAATTTTCACAAATCGGTCGCCGTAGTTGGGATAACGAAAAATGTTTGTGCATTCATACGATTGGGATACGATTTGCACCAAATTTTGGGCAAACGCCCAATCGTGTGACACTTCCTTTCTTCTTCTTCTTCTTTATTGGCGCTGTAACCGCCTAAGCGATTTGGCCGAGTCCAAAACAGCCAGTCATTTCTCTTCTCTGCTAGCTGACGCCAATTGGAAATGCCAAGTGAAGCCAAGTCCTTCTCCACCTGGTCTTTCCAACGCAGAGGAGGCCTTCCTCTTTCTCTGTTACCAGCATCGCGGCCCGCTCTGAATATTTTCAGAGCAGGAGCGCTTCTGTCCATTCGAACGACATGGCCAAGCCAGNTTGGCGCTGTAACCGCCTAAGCGATTTTGGCCGAGTCCAAAACAGCACGCCAGTCATTTCTCTTCTGTGCTAACTGACGCCAATTGAAAATGCCAAGTGAAGCCAAGTCCTTCTCCACCTGGTCTTTCCAACGCAGAGGAGGCCTTCCTCTTTCTCTGTTACCAGCATCGCGGCCCGCTCNAACTTCTATTGAGAAATTTTCACAAATCGGTCGCCGTAGTTGGGATAACGAAAAATGTTTGTGCATTCATACGATTGGGATACGATTTGCACCAAATTTTGGGCAAACGCCCAATCGTGTGACACTTCCTTTCTTCTTCTTCTTCTTTATTGGCGCTGTAACCGCCTAAGCGATTTGGCCGAGTCCAAAACAGCCAGTCATTTCTCTTCTCTGCTAGCTGACG